TCAAGTTTTATGTTAGTATCTAAGATAGTTTCAATGGGTTGAGCTACACCTGACATTTGAAATCGTATATTATTTAAAATTGGAGTAGATGCATGTAGTCAAATTTTCCCTCTCTTACAATTTCCAGCAGGTCAAATAATGTACTTACAGCATCTTTCCAATATCGAAAAGGTGAACGAAATAGCTTGCTTATTCTCAAGCATTTACTGGGGAATCGATGTGCAAAAAGAAGACATGATAAGCAATAAGCACCATCTTCTTCTGGTCAAAAAAACAGCCAGGTAGAATTTTTGAGCCACTCATATTTAAAAGACCTTTTATTGTTCTCACTCACAGGAGGAAAAGTGTAATTTTCATCTGGTTTAAAAACAATTTTAATAAGCAAACAAATGTCAGACATTTTTAAACCTTTAGCTCTTTTGTAGTAGATAGCTACATCAAAATTGTGACTAAAGTTAGGCTTTACGTGTAAATCTTCAATGGTTTGTTCAGTAACCACAGTACAAGAAACCTCACTTGAAATGATTTCTGTTTTTCTAATAGTGAAAAAAACATACTGATATTCCCAGACTTTTTTCTGCTTTTGCTTTTTTCGAAGGCACTGGGCATGTTGGACAATTGTCCTTTTATTTTTGCTAAGAAAAAAAAAATAGAGGAACAAAATGATTAGCTTGGAAACATTGATCTGATTTAACTACCCTTTTATAACAAAACAAAAGATGAATTGTATCGGCTGATTCTTTAACTATTGTTCTTGGACAAACGAGAGAGTTGAATATTGATTTAGGCCTGCTCTCTCCACAATCTAGGTAGTAGGTAAAATTTTTTGTCTCCAACAGAGAAGAAAGAGCTAAAATGAATAGAAAAAATGACCACTTTTGGTCATGACAATTCAAAAAGATCTCCTTTTTGACAAGATCAACGCCTACAAAACCACAATCTAGACAGTCTTGAGATACTGTCAAAGGTGAAATATTCTTTAGTTGTTGTTGAGTTCTTTATGCTGTTCAACTATAGAGGAAAATAAAGGATTTTGGCAGTAAAAAGTAGCATTCAAAAACAGCTCAACTGATGTTAACTGCTTCAAAATATGCAATAAACTGTTATCACCTGCCAAAAAACAATGACACTGAACTGTTGAGACAGTTGCCAGATACCTCTGATCTTAATTGGATAAAAAAGTCGTGTTCCTATAAGTCCTCCAATAAAAGTTTAACTAAATGGTCAGTAAATATCAAACATGGCTACGTAGTTACGTGTAGAAGATAGTTCAAAGTTCAAATATAAATTCACTACTCGCTGAATTTATGCCAATATTTATAATAAAGTTAAAAGCCCAAACCGTAGATCTTTAGTATACACTGCCCAAAATGAAATCTGCTTCTTTAAAATTTATACAACAGTCAATAGACATAAACCACATCTCACTGTTGCATAAATTGATGTTAATTGTTTGGATATCTTAAGGCCATGCATACATTTCTTTGTCCTCGTGTTGCATATGTATGATTTTAGGGATGAAGATATCAGCTGAGAACTCTCTACACAATGATGTTTTGCCTTTCAAAAGAAATGATATGTACGTTTCTCATGGACCTGGTGCCAAAAAAGATGGCCTTTTTTCAAGAAGTAGCGCTGTCTACTTGCACATTTTTCAAGGCAAAATGTTGCTGACTCCACTGCCTCTGCTACTGTTAGGATCCGCTCCATGTACGGACACCTCACCTCAAGAACAGTTCCTTCATCAATAATACCACCTGGAGATGCACCAAGACCTCCAGATGAATGAAACCAAATTCCCGTTCCTTTCACTGCCAACCCTGTTTTTTTAGAGTGAATATTTTGACGGCTTCCTCGTCATTATTTACTCCCCATTGTACTGCCTTTACCCTTGATAGGTCCTACTCCCTGAGAAAACGTTTAATAAGTGAAGGAGTGATCGTCTTTGCCTTTAGAACAGAGCTGAAATTAATGGCTGTTAGGCTGCCCCTTCTCCCCAAAAACCATGCCGGGTTCTCTCACTGGCAAGCAGTTAATTTCCTTAAAATGTGGCTTGAGTACCACTAGTCATTCTTGTTGTAATTAACAAATTAGGCTAAATCGTATGTTTTAAGTTTTAAATGTTTTGCGTTGTTATTAAATCAGAACATTTCTCGAGAAGAGTTATCGGATGATAAGTTTGAATCGTTTCCATTCGCTAAAATTATTTAACGCTTGGCTGAATTCCGGCTACCTGGGATCATGTAATCAGCCCCTTACTCGTGCACTCAAAAGCATTTGCGGAGATACGCATAGGATATTCTGACATATTACCGCCAAGATTCTGTGTATTCATATAATGTCAAGAACACTAATTAAATATGCAGGTTACAAAGGAGGTGGTCAAACTTGTCCGTATTCTCCAATGCTTTATCTTAAGTTATTTACTGAAATCTCCCTCGCAGTCCTTCTTTCGTGTATATATGGATCAATCCCTTGACATAAATTTATTTTCTAAAGATATGTTTGACTTGCATCGGATTTTAAACTCTGATAAGCATTCAATGGGGCAAGGGCGGACGGGTGTCCTTTTTTTTTCTTTGACAATGATGCCCACTTCAAGTAAGGACAATGAAACGTCACGTGATTCAATACAAGCAATAGCGCATCAATACAGAAATCATAGCTAAATTCCTTTGGAAACAACATTATTAGAAGCATCAATGTGATACAAGACGCATATTGACAAAAATCGCATCGCATTAACGTAAATTGACTTGTTATTTTTAAGTAGTACGTACATTTCATTTATCCTTTACGTATAAATAATTTTCTAAAGAATGATCTGCAAACAATGATCTGACGCTCCAGTTTATCATAAATATTTGAAATGCCGTTTATTACTGTAAAGTAATGTATTATTTCTGTGCTAATTTTGTAAGCATATATATCATGTTGTTTAAAATGCCTCCTAGTTCGTTAAAAGTTATACCTAGAGAAACTTATCCTTTATCCGCTATCCTTTCGAATCTTGACGAGCCTTTGTTTCCACAGAAATGACTAAAACTTCTCTTGCGAGATTTTCTTTGCCGAGACAAGTACAATTTCTTGTAGATTTTTCCTCCCATTAAAAATATCGCAGTATGAACAACAGATTACACGAGACGATTTGAATTTTGTAAACGATTTTGCAAAATTCCATTAATGGTTCTGAGTGTAGTTTTTATCATTTTATTTTAAACTACTATGACATGATCAAACTTTCAATGTGCTGGCTCAGTTGGCTATTAGCCGAATTCCGTCATATCAATCACATTAAGACTGAAATTGAAAGAATTTAAATACACGATATCAATTGGGGTCCCTGATCAAACCACCCACCCTGTTATTGGTCGTGATCTTAAACAGTAAAAAGGGCTTATATGAACGTTCTTGGACTACTCTATTTTTCAGTAAGTAGTTAATGTAATTCCAGAAAATTTATTGATCAACTTTTCTATTTTTGAGATACATGTGCAATGAGAAGAAAGTCTTTAGGTATATCACACTTATTATCGTCACCGTCTTCAGTAGTTTGTTACAAATAAAGTGTGTTGTTTTTGTTTTAAAAAAAAACAAAAACAATTGACCAAAGACTTAATGACACATTTTCTTTTAAAGAGCAGCTAGCTTTGTGTGTGCCTTATTTTTTTCTTGCACCCTTTTCTAAGTCTGCTTGCAAAACATCTTTTGAGTCGCTTAAAAGTTCTGAAATTGCTATAGGGTTTTCAACCACATGTAGTTAACATTGAAATTACTCTTTGCAGTTTCGGTTAGAAATTAACTAACTCGTTAACTTTATGAAAGTTCGATTTCAGTTTTGAGGAATATAAAATCATACCAAAGGCGTACTATGATACACAAGATTTAAATTACTTAGCTTTTTTGCGAATACATCTAGAAATTATTTTAGATATTGATAACTGCTTGATAAGTTTACTGAAAGTAAAACATGTTGAAAATTTGCTTATAATGTTATTGAAACGTTACCTCAGAAATATAAGACAACGCAACTGGCTCGTTGCTGTTATGTGCTTCATTGTTGCAGAAATGTCAGACAGCGCAACTCTCCATCCCTAACATCACATCTTCCTTTCACTGTGTTTTCTAGGCCGTGACTTTGGGTTAAACAGTTTGTGCAATTTTATGCTTAACAGCTATTTTAGTTGAAAAATTTTTGGAAGAAAGGTTTTCTTACTTTGCAATCATAAAAAATTCGTTTTAGAAATATTCCTGGCAAATTTTTCTTTGAAACTTTTTGGGAATGATGCCCTATACCCTTGTCCATTGAAAAATGCGAAAAGAGGTTAGTTAAGCACATTTGATAACGTTTTAACGTCATAGCATGCATGAAGAAACTATACTTCTTTCCGCGTGCCACGTGACCAATTAATTTAATTAAGGGAGAATGCTGACATTAAAATTCGTTCAATTTTTAATAAATACAAGTCTCTCATTCATCGACATTAGTGGCTTTCGTAAAATTAAACTATAATATGTAAGCACACGACTGAACATGACTACTAAACAACAACGAGTGTACAATTGTACAATAACTTTGAGTGAAATAATCAACGTTCAGAGGGTATTTGTAGAATAAGACCAGGAGTTCCCAATCTATAAAATTTGTCTCAGCACTCAGCAAATGTAGCAATGATCTTACACAAAAGAAATAATGAATTAATAGCCGTAAATATTATGAGCTGCCATTCACATAGCAAAGATATGACGTATATGTAAAAACCAAACAATTAAGATAATAAAAACAGAACAATCAAAAAGCCATGCAATCAAATATAAGTGCGAAGACAGCAGGTGTAATTCAACATAACTATACAGCTGATCTTTTAAAGGTGAACAGTATAACTCACACAAAACGAATTATGCTTAAATTAAAACAACACAAAACAGGTAAAGGCGACGTAATGCAAAACAATCCACTTGACATAAAGCATAGAAGAATGCACAAAGCCAACAAAAGAGCAGAGTACTTGTCGAAAGTTAACGAATCAAAGCAATAAAAGACACAATGTGAGATACGCAGCGAATTGAAACTACGTCTTCGAAATTTATATTTAATGATGCAAAGTACATAAGGCAATCGAATGAGTTGATGAAAGACCATCGAAATAAGACAACTGAACGCCGACCACACAAGACACTTAAAGACAGGAATCAGTTTTGCACGGAAAGAGCGAACTAAAAAGGGCAAAGAAGCAACGAGTGCATACATCGAGAAGAACCAAAGGCAGAAACGCCTGTGAATGGATCTATAATATATATACAATAATAATGTTAATTACTATTCAAGAATATTTCAACGTAAAGTCACGCATTGTTCACACCGAAAGATTAAAGGTACAATGGCACGAGTATAGATGTTTTGTATATGGAAGCTTTATTCAAGCTTGTAACGAAAATTGGATTATCTAATTAATCATGACTTTAAATATTACATTCGTTCTTTATCTCAATTTGGAGTATAGTGCTTTTTGACCAAATGCTTTTCTTACAAACAAAAATAAGAGAAAAGATGAATAACTTATGAAGATGCGACGATTTAACATTTTTACGTTATACCATGGCAAATTTAAGAAATATTTTATTCAATTTTGCAAAGTAGAAAGTGCCAATATTTGTAAGTAAATCCAATTCAAACTGCATTCGCAGGAATATTCATTACACTTGACTATTATTAGTAAAGATTAAGAACATATACAAGTGACTTAACAGAACTCTAAGTTTTGCCAGCACTCAGAGGCCGCGCAAGCTCAAATAATTGAGGCGAGTAATATTCATATATGCAAATTCTAACTTAGTAGTTTCTGTTGAAATCAATTGTGGTTATGGTTTAACAACTATTAAAACTTACGAATATATGAATATCACCCCCAATCATCGAGCCTGCGTGGCCTCTAGCACTTCTACAAGTTTATGAATTTACAGTGCATTTATAAAAGAAAGCCTTATATTATCGGTATATAAAATCTGCTTTTTCTTGACTTTGTATGATCAAAAAAAATAATGTTTTTTTTTCGTTCATTAATTCTTTGGTGACGCTTGAAAATCTAGTAACGAGTATCTTTTGCCCCGTACTGTTTTATTTAATCCTGATGATTTTAAAAAGACTGGCTTTTTATAACATTTGTATGCTAAATAATTGTACAACTCTTAATGTTTTTATGGTACTTTTTTATTCAATGTGTCTTAAAACAAACGGTTCGCATAAATGATTGTGCATATGACTATCAATTATTATTATATAATTACTACTCAAGTGAAATCCGCATAAGATAAGTTAGTCCGCAATAGCTATTTTCCCTGCCTAATTTATTTAATTTTATAAATTAAATTTCTTTAATTTTTTACCATTTAGCTATATTTTCAATTTTGCTAAGTTTACTTTGAAAGTACGAGCATATTGCTAAGCAAGGGAGACATACATACTGTAGAGATGTATTGTGGAAATTGAAAAAATCTATTTCTTACAAGGTTTCTTCTTTGTAAATCATGGGTGCTAATTTTCGTACTGCTTTTTGAAATGATATATGTATTAGTACATTTTAAAAAGTTTAAGCATCCTGCGTAAGTGAGACGTGCCATTATTTACGGTATATAAGCTGAGATAAATTTATGTTAAAGATATAATGCAAGGATTTACCTCAAAATTTGTACTCAAATTGACATAATTTACTATGTTAGAAAACGTTAAACTTATAACTTAATAAAATGATTGAAGAGTAGAGATACTTAATAACTTTTCTATTAAATTTTTCTGTAATCTTTGAAATAATTACCAAGCATTACAGTTTTTTTCTTTATCCAAACTTCTTATCTTTCTATTTAACTTGTGTTGATCCTGTTTGCTTACCAAATCATTAATCACATTGACAAAGTTCTTTTTCTTGACATGGTGCACAAATCTTGCGTACAATCAAGAACACTACATAGATGCTACACAGCGGGAACAATGAAACAAATGAATGGAAGACTTATATGAAACAAAAGACTGGAAGACTCGTAGAGTATGCCTATCATTGTGTATACAAATAATAATTATTCACCATATATCATCAGCTTTGAGGAGTGGCCCCACCAAAACATAAGGTAATTATCTCTTACAAAGCCAACCTTGATAAATAAAAAATGAAAAAAATTTCAAGTCAAGACACTGATTTAAATAAAAATATTGAAGTATGTATTGATGTTACATGCCATAATTGCAGTTAAATAAGTTATAATATTTCTGGATGACCATGTTCAAAATTGTATGAAATTGTACTGGAAGATTGCAACTACAATACGACGTACACCTCAACCATTTATTAAAATTCGAAGCAATGTAGTAAAAATCACATTCCGTGCATTTTGATGAATATTTTTGTAAAGACATCGAAGTACTTTTATAAAACAAAACTAGCTCTTAGACATTCCGTTATTGTTTAAAAATTAAATAGTATAACATAAAATTTTACAGAATATGAAAATTATACGCAATAAAACAAGTATTGCTTAAACTTTGCAATTCAAGTTGTCAAAACGTTGTTCCATTAGCGAGCTAGGAAAACTGTTTTATTCCTTAGTAATTAATATTAGATATAGCAGTCTTTATTTCCTTAATTGAGAGGCTTACTTTAAAAAGTTATTATCTGACAAAATACTAAGAAGTTCGGGTAAAAGTTGAATCAACATGTTATCTTAATTCTATAGCTACTTTAAATCTCAACTTCATCATCATTTTAGTGGCCATGATTTACAGATGCTATTAAGCACTCACACAGTAAACTTAAGGTAACTTTTGGTTTTATGACTGTACAAAGACAATGAATGACATTATGTTAAAGGAGTAATATCGGTATTATTCACAACTGAGCTCAAAACTTTAAAATTCATAATAAAGCAATAAAATAATAATACAGCGGCAAATATTCTGATATAAATGTATATTCAAGATTAAAGCAAAATTCAATATTTAAGTCTTTTCAGTCAAAACATTTATAAATCTTTACGCATTTTCCAATCTTTTAAAATAAAATACTGAAACACATAGTATTTTGTTCGCAGGAATGCTATAGCACCATTAAAATGAGCAGACAAAATAAAGAATATATCATAAGTTTATAAAATGATGGATTAACTCAATTTGTTCTGTCGAAACTAGCATACACAAATCAAAGCTATCATTATTAAAGGTCAATATCTTTAAATAGGACAAATACAACCCAAATATTCATTGGCGGGTGCATCAGTCAACTCTAAGTTACTAAAAATAAATACAACTATCCATATCATTTAAAAATCATCTGGTATCATTATGTTAACATCATCATAGAAATTACATAGAATAGTGAAATAATTCTTATAGTGATGTTAAATGTTATAGGTTAAAATGATATAAAAGAAATAAAAAACATGTTAATGGTGACAAACATGACGGATGTGAAACAAAAAGAGTCTTTCTAAAAAAATAATTTAGAGAGAAACTTGTCAGCCTTAAAAGAGTTAGAATTTATTATACTTTGAGAAATGAGAAGCTAAGATATTTTCAGAGGTTTATTCAGAAAAAGTGTGGATAAAGACGTGTCTTCATGTTCAACCGAAGAAAACATGGATGTGGTGTTGGCAACACGTTTCCCATCTTTCACCTTCAAAGTTTGCTTAGCTGGACAGTGGTGCAGACAGACTTAATGCCTTTTGTTCTTGTTTTTTAAACAAGCGTCATGATGGAGAAAGTTTAAAGATGAAATATGGCATAGATGCAACTTAGAAGTTCATTTTCTTGGTGCTAACTTAGAACATTGACAAAAAACTACGATCAAGTCCATGAAAAAATGGACCTGCATACAACTGAGACATTAAAATCTTATGTTGAAATTAATTTGCCTTTTTTTGTTGCAATGATAGATATGCATAAATGTTTAAGGTGTTAGAAATACCGAACATTTTACATCGTACCCTCATTATTTACAACTTTAATGATCAAAGGCGGCCTAGAATGTAATACCTGCAGGTTTTTCCTGAAAGACTGGACGTTTTGGATACTATTTGAAAATGAAAATATGCTTTTCATCCAATAAAAACACCAGAAAGCACTCATTATATATTTATTACCTGAACGAGTATATAGTTGAAGGTCATCTTCATAAATATTGTATACTTTGAGTGTTGCTGTTGTTGTGAAAAGGACAGAACAACCGGCAAAGATATTTAATCCTAAAAAGTTTGTCTTCTTGGCCTTATAATGGCAGAAAATTGAGATGGTGCAAGGTCGAGCTGCATTGTTTTGAAACAAACTGGAGATTATATGATGCTGCTGCTTCTTAAAAAAATGTAAAAATGTTACAGAATCCTACTACTGCTACCAAAATTTCATGTGTAATGATGTTTATGAAAGATTGCTACAAATTTACTTATTTAACAACACTTTTTTGTTCACATCGCTAATATCATAATAATTTCAATTTACGTCTTTATTATATAAGTGAAGAAACAAAACAAATCGACATAGAAAAATAATAAAAAAAAACAACATTTGGATGAACATTAGTAAGTTGAAAACAGTATGATTAAATTCGACGAGATGAACATAATCAAAATATGCGAATTAAAGTACCTCTGTTGTCATTAAAGCAAAGCAAAGGTTTCAACCAGTTCATATGTGAACAACTTAAATACCTATGAATGTGTAGAAGATATGAATACCTTCAGGGGCGGATCTAGAGTATGTCAAATCCGTCGCGCGAGTGATGTTTGAAATTCAAAAATTACCTATTCATATTAATTAAAAATTCATGAATTATTCTTATTTTCTTATCGCATTTACTTCGTGATAAAAATCCAGCATTATTTATTATTGAAAATTAATGACTAATCCAATGAATATCTCGTTGGTAACCAGATCAGTTGAATTTTAATGGACCTGGAATAACCGACTGATAAGCGGTGTGGCTTGACTGGTTCGATGGATAAAGGAGTCTATGAACGCCAAAAACGCATATTTCATTGGTCAATACCCAGATCAGTGCACGATCTGGAATAATCTCGACCGATAAGCGGGGTGGCCGGACCTATAAGAGAGTCCAATTGCTATCTTACAATTGGTTCATTTGAATTTTTGTCTTACTGTGATTGGTTTGACCGATTTTGACTGATAGCCAACTGAACTAACATAGTCAAGCTCACTGTCTGAATTGAATGTTTGATCGTTTTATAGTAATTTTTATAAGCATGATAGAAACTAAACTACAATCAGATGGAATTTATGGAAATCTTTTACAAATTCATATATTGACATGAATGCGGCTGTCCAAAATGTGAATTTTTTCAAGAGGGTGGAAATTATGGATAAATTTTAAATGCTTGGCAAAGACGATCTCGCGAGCGACATTTCAGTCATTGATGTTCAAAAGAAAGCCAACGTTGTTTTGAGTTTTATCAGCAGAAATTTATATCTAAAATCGTAAGTAAAGGACAAGTGAAGTGTATGCATGATTGTAATATATCAAAGTCAATTATGCGAGTGTGTGATGTGATTTATGTCAATATGGCGTATGGTAAGCAGATCGATGCTTCTAAAATTGTTGTTGACGAAGGACTTTTAGCTATGATTTCTTTAGTGCTTGGGGAATCGTGGCCGTTATACGGCAGCGAAATCCTACATTCCTGCAAATATATTTCAATGGACAAAAAATCTGTAGCCATAAGACTCCATACTATTATTTACTTTATCATAAAAAAATGTTTGGGGTTTTTCAGTTTATGATCATTGATCATTCAATCATTGGACAGCTATACTACATATTGTTTAAGATTTGAGAAAACTAACATTGATTACATGAGAAGCCGTTTACTATAACCTGTGATTTTGAGTCTTCTGATCCATGAAGCTTTTTATTTTGACAATTTGACTGGAATGGTATTAAACCTGAGTATTTCACATACATGGAATGTTGTCCCATGTCACATATTGTCCCCTTTTCTAACTGAACACCTCATGTAGAGATGTAAAGGTGTGTTAATCTACGGCTCATAACAAATTGTTTGCCATAAATTCCAAAGGGCTATTGATGTATGAAAAGCATTTTCTATAAAGTAAAAATGTCTTTCTATATATGCAGATAAACCTTGAAATTTGGCAAAACAGCAAAGTATTTTTCATGATCACTAGGTAATTTTTCTGATGATCATTATAATTTCTAAACTAAATTATTTCTGATTTACATTTAAACAAGCTTTGATCATATGAAAAGATATTTATCATAACCAGTAAGCATGACAGATGAACCAATTTTACCATTCATGTAATTATATAATTAAAGACATGTTGTTTACATTCTGTTTGTATTAGCAAATACAATGCTACTAGTGATTGCTATATAGCACAACTTGCATATACTTACAGGAGATAATAGTCTAGTGAAATGACTAATAAACATTTATGGCATTAAGCTGTCCTTAACTGCAAATTTGGCTATTTGGAGATGGGTAAAGGGTTACAATAAACTTGCATGGTTTGAAGTCTGAGCTTTTCTATATCAATGAACTGTCACTTGTAGTACCAAATTTCTAACTTAACTAAACTCACTACATAGAGGTTTGAATAGGGGTCTCTAGGGGGGTCTATGCCTGACAACTTGGTAGAAATTTTTAAAGACTATATCTGTTTATGAATAGCGTTGTTGTAAAATAAATTTTACGTTCCTAGACATGCTAATGAGCCATATATTTGGCATGATAATGAGCCTAAATATTTGGCAAAACATTCAAGTATTGTTCACTTCATTTTTTTTTTGAAAAAACGTAAGCAAAATGTGTTGTTTTTACGCAAAAACGATGCCCACAAATACATTTTGTATTGCTCTAAAACGCTGAAAATGGCATTTTCAAGGCTCTGAAATTCAAAATTTCTCACGTGAGAATACCTCAGACCCCCAGATGCGGAGCGCCTTCGACGTTTTATGACTGATGTTTGAAAAATCCTAGATCCGCCCCTGAACACCTTCGTTCTTACTTTGTTGTAAATTTGTATATTAAGTATTCATCTGCTAAAAATGCGTCGCATGGCTGAAATTGTCCTCATCACCTTCAACTTTCAAATTTCAATACAACTTGCCATATTATTTTTCAGTCGTTATAGAGCAAAAAAAACAGAGCTTCTGTGTTAAAACTCTCTACCGGTCTTCATAAAAATTTTGCCTTTATCAGAAGTTTGTAAAGAAAATATGATGTTCTTCTTTGAGAATATAGGAGCTAAAAGTTGGGGGGACCCATTGCAAACAAAGACATTCAGATAAAATTTTCAATAAAGTAAAACTGAAACGAGCAACCTAAACTATATCACAAATCTTTCTCATCGACACTATTCTTATCTACCTGATGTTTTTCACGGAGTTCTTTTTTCTCGCTTAGATTTTTTCTTAAATTAACGATTCTGTAAATGCTGTTACATGCATTTTATAATATATTTTTTAACAGCTCCTACACTATCGATGCTGACAAATCATCCAGAGGGTAAGTTGGTTCACAATCTATAAAGTCTTAATTTCACGACAGAGGGGCGGTAACTTAGTCATACAAATTCTTATGCAAAAAAGGGTTCAGCTTCGTAAACAGAAAACTTATTACATATTTATATGCACATCTTTGGAGCAAAGGCACTTATTACTCAACAACAAAAACACAACAATGTAAATATTTGGTATGTCATTAATTCGTGAGCTTATAAATTCGTCTTATTATGGAGTGTACCGTCGTATTATCACTACATGCTGTAGAAAAAAAAAATTTTTACAAGTTTAAATATCTGTAACTAAAGCTGATTCCAAACTGTTTATCTTATCGGCTCTACAATAGCCTCTTTTTGTGAAAGGTTTCACATATTAATCTGTTTAAATGATGTTTTAGTGGGATTTACATGTACGTTCACAAAAGACTTCTGTCGTTTTACCAGAAAAAGAAACTTTGTACGTGCTGGTTCTAATCTATATATGATTAATGGAAAAATTATTGATCACACCTTTGGCAATTCATCTGGTTAGTAATATTAGTGCTTTCGAAGATTGTTCAACTGTTGCGTGCGTGCATGGACGTGAAAAATAACTATTACTTTTTGGTTATATTGCCACTTGTAAAAAAATATTGTAAACCAGTTATATATTTACCCAAACGATTTATTTATCAACGCTTAGTATAATACAAATGTCCTAATAATATTATTAGCAATTAATCAGTGTAGCTTATCTCCTCTGTCGAAGTGTTCGTGTACATCCTCGAGTGTTTTGTCTTGAGTGTTCTTGAATGAAGCAATGAATTACATAAGATACTTACAGCTCAAAAGCCAAGATAGGTGTCTGGTAGATGGACGCTTGTCAACCTACCTTAGTAGGCTATGCCTCCTAGGTTGTATCCTCGTAGGTTGTACACAGTAGTCTCAACTACTCAAATATATATAATAGCTAATGGCAAGTAATCAGAAGTATTGTATATTTGTGACCAACATCCTATAAGTAAGACAGTATTATGTTACAGCAAGATATAACAAATCAGTTAAACTCAATTACAAATGCCAATAACAACATCTGTGCTTCAAAAATATGTGTTTGCGCATGCCAGCTAGTTTCTAGATTTGATAGTAATGATAATACAAAATATGTATCAGCTAGTTTCTAGATTTGATGCGCATGCCCACTAGTAATGATAATACAAAATATGTATATTGAAGGCAAAACAAAAAATAGTAAAATATATATGGTAAAATTTATAGTGTTTTGACTAAATATGATTATACATGACAGTTGTATGGTAACCAAGAGCTGCCAGATGACAATAATTCCTAAATAAGTTTACATTATTCCATTTCAATTAAGATTAGTTTTGTTTTTACTTATTTTCAAAAAAAATTAAAAAAACTAAAAGTAAAAAAAATTTCGTTGGCAGAAGACAGCATCTTTGCTGATTGCTGCCAATTCGTTTTCAGGCTACCAAACTATAACCACAGCGATGTATCAATTAATGACTTATGCAAAGCAGTAAAGAAGGAAAGTGAAATTAAAAACGATAATTAGTGAAACTATAAAAAGTTGATTACATTAATTTCGTAAAAAAATTTTGAAATATTCCCTTAATTAATCAAGTTTAGTTTAGGTTCAGCAGAAAATAAGACATCATTCTTCGTTGTTTATTTTTCAATAGGTTATTTTCTCCTGCTTCAAACGCTAAAGAACGAAAACTCTGTGTATGCTTACATATTAAACACTATAAACCAAGCTCCTGGTGATTTATTCTGTGTGACGTTTTGGTACCAGATTTACGCTCGTTCCCATTCTTCTGTGTTCTTAAACACGGCAATTATGGATGCTAATGGAACAAAAACAGTATTGTCTACTACAATGACTAATGTAAGGTCTTGGCAAAAAGAAGAGCTTACGGTACAAGTAGAAGGAGGGTATATCAGTGCAGTAAGTTATAAGTTTTATGTTTACCATTTCCTTATTTGTAGACGTCCCAGAATAGTTTGAAATAAAACTGTGATTTAAGGCTATTTGCTTTTTTGTTCGAGAGTCTGACTTAGATTTTCGAGTTATTTTTAGCTTAGTATAGAGTTTTTCAAATAATTAAGGAAGACAGGTCACAGGCTTAAGCAGTAAATGAATACAAAACCTTCCTTTTAAATAATCATTTTACCGTAGTTGTGTCAGGAGATGTTAAAGTCATTTTGTTGTAAGCATTTTGCTGATAATTGATATTCAATGAAATCAATAACAAAATTTTAGCTTTTTTAGAGCATGCACCTTTATTCAAATCATGCGCTTATATTTTTAAAAGTTTTAGTGTTGACTTTAGTATTTGGTGAGTTTGTAGAAATAAAAACGTTAATATGAACATGGTACATCATTAAATTTGTATAATACGTTCAAATTTTACTTAAAGACATTAAAAAAACATTATTTTAAACTTTAATTGTTACACTAACATTATAGCAACGGTAATCTAACGTAAATAATTAAATACTTAATAACAAAGTTTAGTCAGACCTAGCTTTATCATAACCATTTACCAACGCCGCAATTACGTCTTATGTTAAAATGACTATAAATTTCTTTGGAAAGTGTATTGTTTTTAAGGTGAATGAACAGAAAAAATGAGCATAGCAGGACAATAAATCATTGCCAGAAATGAAGGCAGCTTCAAGTCACGAGCTGTAAGCTGTCGCACAAAACATTACCATCAGGCTTGTTATATCTTGACATGTTTTGTTTTGGGTCTAGAATCTAATGAACAATAGAGGAAAAAATCATAAATCCAATTTGAAAATATCAACTATCGTCATAAAATGGCTGTGCAATATTGATCGTGATCGGCTAACATCCTTTAGAGATAATTCTCAATGTCCTGCTAGCTACAAATCATTGAACATTATTCCTAGGTGATGAAATTTTTGTTTGTAGCTGTGAAGAGAAAAAGTATTATAACAGAATCTGTTGGGAATTTTACACTCGTATCAGAATCGTTTCAAGACGTAAACAGGGAAATTTCAGCAATTAAAATGACTTTCAAAGGCAAAGTGCGACACATTTTCACGTTTATGAATATTTCTCAACCAGAAATAACGTGCTTATTTCGAAAATTGGCACGGTGAAACTCAAAATGCCATTGAAACAAATTATGGTGAATAAATCTGTTGAAAAAAAAACTACTGCTTTTTTTTATAAATAATATTAGACAAGGTGAAGTGTCTCAGTTATCACAATCCTGGGGAAAAGTGTGACACTTAGATAAGGATTTTTTTTTTCAGAAGGTAGTAATTGACTGGAGGAGTAATGTTTAAAACAGTATGTATAAAAAAAATCTTGTGATGTGCAATCTTCATGAACTCAAGCAGTACAACTTGATAAAACAATCCAGTCTATTTCACTTTCTCTCAAACTCCCACTGCAGACAGGAAAAGTCTACTCAGATGTACTTTTATCGTCTTCAATTAGAACTAGTCTTGCAGTATTCTTTTTTTTAGTTTGCTTCTACTGCTTATCTTTGGATTTTTTTCTTCCTTATTCTTTTCCTCCTTTGTTGTTAAGCTCTTCCTCACCTGTTCATTTTTTTAAGTTGCAGTCTCCTTCTATAAGAGGAACTTGTTTTAATTTCAGAGAACTCCCCACGGCGACTTGTTTGGGCAGAAAAGGAAGGTAGGGGTAAACTATCCTTCAATGATGTTAAAGGGTTATTCGATGTTGAAAATGTTAGAGGTATGAGAAGTAGAAGATGAAAGACTTTACGTTGCACGTGTTGAGGTAGCACATTGATTTAAAGAATGGCGTACATGGATGATTTTCCTCATCTCTACTTACTGGTATGTCAATTTCACTTACTTCATCAACTCTTTTTCCAAACTCTCCACTTGCGGCAATAGAAGTTTTCGATAAAAAACCTGGATGTTCAATATAATCACTCTCGGGTAACACATTTGAATTAAATGGAACAATTCCACCAACTCGAAAACCAGAGATAGAATTTTCCGTTATAGCCGACTTAATCGAAGCTTCATTGAAAAGCTCTCCCAAATTCTAGGTTTGACTTCTTTTTCCAAGGGGATTTCTCATCCACTTCTGACAAGAATTATTA